GTCTTTGTTCTTGGTGCAAAAGAGAGATTCAGCTAAACTCCTCCCTCCCCAGCCCCTCCCACACCAACACCCACTCGGAAACCTCAGAGTCTGTGCAGGACAAAAAACATCAATGCGGGTACATTAATAAAGGTCAAATTGCGCTAAACTGTGTAATTCCCACATTGTTCCTTCATATTTCACGTTTGGCTGGAAAGAAGAGAAACGGAATGATCTGGAAGATATTCATAACCCGTACGTATCAGCTGCCTGTCGAGAATGAGTAAGGAGAGGAAGTATGCCGTCCACGGATTTGAAAATGTGACGGCGTCATTCTGCGGAGGGAAATTGGCAGGGGCAGCCGGCGTGTCGGCTGATGAACTTTCCAGAAGGATGGACGGGCTTCGAAAAAATGGATTTGCCCGGGGGCAGTTCATCCCCAGCCTGGGGAGGCTGCCGCTCAATCAGAGGCACGTTCGTTTACGCCGGGCAGACAAGGAGGAATCCAGCAGTGGGCGGACTTGCTTCTCCGCACAATAAAATCTGAGGTTTTTTTTTTGGTATGTGTCATGGCCAGAACGTGAGTTTGGGCTCTTTTTTTGTGTTGGCGAGGCAGGGGCTTGGAATAAACGGGGCTTTATTTGAATGTGAAAAACAGCACAGACAGACACATTCTTTGGACTCCTTCTGGGCCGTCTGTGTATTTATCCGTCACGACGAAACCAGCCGACGCATCCAATCGCGGAGCCTGTCTGAGGGCTGGCGATGTAATGGTACTACGGCACCCCCCGTATTCCAGAGCCGGGGGTCAGAGCCGTGTCAATTCAACGCGGCCCTGCTTGGTTCGAGGCGGCCTCTCCTTCCTGTGAGTGTCTGCAGGTGCAGAAGAGCGGCTCTTTCCAGGGTTTTCCGTGAAAAGGACAGCTTCAGAATCCCCCTCCGCCGTCAACAAGCTTCTGCGTCTCGCGCCGTTGTGGCCTTCCACCTGTCAGCGCCGTGACACGCCCCAGACCTCACTTCCCCTTTGCTTCATCTCACATCCTTTGGGAGGAGATCGAAACAGGGACAGTGATGTCACAAATTTTTCAAATGCTTTAGATACAGGCTGTAGTTTCTTACAAAATTAGTTTTACAAAAGTAATTTTATTCTGTATAGCCTCTCGCACTGGGCCACTACAGTCTTCCAGGGCCAAGCAAATTCATTATCCAGTCCTTCCCTGGTCTGAATCATCATTCCACATATTAGTATTCCAGTGCCAACATAATCACTGAATTGTGCCCGTCTCATGATCTTGGATTCCATTCCGCATTGACACAGAAATATTAAATGGTCCCGTTGATTTGCATATTTCTATCACAGGCCCATTATTCTCTAGTCACTGTGGTTTTACTGGTCTTATGCTCATTTTTATTGTTTTAAAATAACATGACCTAGAAGCTGGAGACTCGAGTGTAACGTGTAACTGTAAACTACTGCATAAATTGCACAAAGACGTCCTGTTTTAGAGATGTAACAAAGCCCCTAATCCCTCACTTATTTAGCTGATAGCCATTGTTCACCCAAGGTAGCCTTTTGGGGATGTGTCCTTATTATATTTGGATGGGAATGTGCTGGTAGTTCTTCAATACACACAAATAGTTTTCCCTCACAACAGGTCGTAGGGATAAATTTGCTGCATTCGGCTGATTTGTCTTCCCTCTCCGGTATGCCTGATTCATTCCCGGAGTTGTATGAAACTGAGTAAAATACGGAATATTATACAAAAATTGAGCCATTTGAGCTTTCATGTGTTTAATACTTTTTCCCCCTTGATTTATTACCACAAGTTCTGGTGAAAGCAGAGTCCTCTGGCCCAGTGCTGGTGTTTATGTTTTTACTAGCGTAGCAAAATGTGTTTCAGCTTGGTTAGCAAAATAGATATGAATGAATAAAACTAAATATCTCAGTTCCATCCCTGTGAAGTAAGGGGGCATTAACCAGTGTTTTTCATGAGCTAATATTACCTGCCGTGCATCAGTAGCGAGGTGAAGCGCCACGTGATACAAAATACTAGCAATGCTTGAATGAAATGAAAATGAAATGAAATGAAGACTTTTCATTAGTGGACAGGAGGACTTCCTCAGCCTCCATGGAAACTGCTGCCGTTAAATATTATTGCCTGTTATCAATGCCTTCTCTACAAGCCCTTAAATTTGAGTGCCGCAGTTAAGTAACCCAAAAAAATTAAAAGCTGTCAGAAAAGGAGAAGCACGAATATGTCGCTGCAGTAGTGCGATCGTGGGTGGTGGGGCTCTAGAGGACCCGGCCGCCCAGGTACGGGGGGGAGGGGCATTGGGGGCCGTGCTAGAGCCTTTGGGCTGCAGCTCTCTCTTTGGGCTCCTCCTGGCTCTCCGGAGGACTTTCAGGACTTTCAGGCCATGTGTCAATCCCAGCAATGCAGCCACGATTGATGCAGCAACCTGCCTTGCTATAAAGAAAACTGAAATAGTGTCCTTTAACAAGGCTTCCGCACAGCAAATGCACTGAGCTGTGTCAAGTGCCCCCTTAAATTACCTGGCCTGTGAAGTCGTGCCCTGTATGCGTGAAGCGGAGCCACTTCAACCACCACCACTGTGTAGCCCCCACCTTGATGATGAGACGGCAGCCATTCTGTGCCAGGACACTCACCACACAGTAGCTAAGGTGGTGAAGGAGAGAATTCCACCAGTTAGACATAGAGAATAATTAGGAGGCCAGATTTGAAAGGGCCACAGTGGGCAGAATTAGCCAGGACATCGGGGTACCACCCCTACTCTTTCAAAAGATGCCCAGGGATCTTTAATGACCTCAGAGAGTCAGGACCTCGGTTTTATGTCTCATCGGAAGGACGGCTCCGTTTTCACAGCACAGTGTCCCCGTCACTGCACTAGGGCACTGGGATCCACACTGACCACAGGATGGGCTCCCCTGTTGGCCACAGTGTCCCCCTCACTGCACTAGGGCACTGGGATCCACACTGACCACTGGATAGGTTAACCTGTGGTCTACACCAAAACCTCTTCCAGCATAGCAATGTAGCTATTCATTGTCAGTAGCTGTAAACTCTGTACTGAATGCTGAGCTTGTCAAATGTGTTTAAATATACATATATGTAAAAAAGAAATTGATAGGTGGCCAAAGAAATCGTGCACTGATTCAGCCGTCGGATGTGAGCATGTCGAACAGGCCCATTGTCAAACTCGGCGGCACGATGCTCGCATAATGAAAATGCAACGCGGAGGGTTTATTCCTCATTAGCGGCCACAGATGATTGTTTTGCCATCTAGAGGCAAAGACAGCTGTCGTGGTCATTTTGTTGCTGAAAGAACAGGTCTAATAATTGTAGCATAGTGTGCGAAGGATCTTCAATAATCATTTAGCTTACTTTAGGCTAACAGTCTATACATACCAGCCACATTAATTATACCACAGATGTTCTGCCTGATAAAGCTCATCTAACCCTCATTTACTTTCTTCTTTTTTTCCCTGTAGTGAGATCTTAGAAAGAAACCTCCTGAGGATTCGTAAGTCAGAGGCGGCCGTCAAAGAACGAAATCCACGCTAGCGCTTAACGTTCGCAGTGCGGTGCGCCACGGCAGAGACCCCAGCTGGGTGCAATCGGATCAAACGGAACCACAGCCACGCCAGTGGGATTTTGGAAGATGGAAATCCCTGCCTGGATTCTCTGTCATCTGATTTTACGTTACCAGAGGAGCCCCTGTGTTTTTTTTTCACCACTGCTTCCCAGTTTAATACTGGAGTGCAGCTAACTGGCTACGGTTACAATCCTCGCCTTGGAGGATCGGGCTGTGACGTCATCAGCGTGCGCGTCCGAGCGGCCGCTGCTGAATTCTGTGCCACCCAAAGACTCTGATTGTGCTCAACTTAAATATACTGGAATTTCAGAATCTGGTAAACATCTGTTATGGCTGAGCCCAAGAAGTGTCTCCATCGAACGCCCCTGTTCAGACTTTTTTTGTTATTCATCCATTCAGTTCCAGAGTGTGATTTTACATTCATTCCCGCTGTAACCACACAGGCTCAGATGTGCTTTTGATCAATGTAATCTGATGTTGTGGCTGTTTCGCTTTCAGTCCGAATGATGCCCACCTGCTGGGGGCTACTTCTCCTGTCCCCCCCCCCCCCATCTCTCTCGTGGAGAACAGGATGGAGTTTTACCACACTGCCAGTGTGAGAACAGCCAGAAGAAGATTCTGTACCAAGAAATGTCTCTGTTTCAAATGTTGTCCCCTGGGTGTTCTAGGCAGAAATACAGTGGCGTACTGGATGGTCACTGCAAACACTGGGGTGATGTTAGGAGGGGTTTTGAGGTGGCTAAACTGTCACACTTTGATAGCTTCAGACTCCTCCCCCTCCCCAATGAAAATTAAACTAAAGACAGTAGTAAACATGGAGCGGAGCTCTGTGTATCACAGCTGTATTTGTGCAAAGCCCGCCTGGAGACCCCCCCCCCGCCCGTCCTGCCCCCCGCACATGTGTTTATCGGAGGCTGGGCCTTATCTCTGGCTGCTCGGGCGCGAGGCTGAGGCTCTGTTCCCACACTGCTGTCCACAGATCCCCCAGCTCTGGACGCCGTCCAGCACATTACGGTGTCTCCTTGCTTTACGGTGCACGCTGTGGGGAGTTTTCCACTGCACATAAAACACGATACGCAACATAAGTAAAGGACTTTGATAAGGTAGTAAAGTAATATCCCCTCCCTTTTTGACACTATAATGGTGTCCATTTGCTGCACTTGAGACCTACTTGCCATTAATTTCTTCCATCCTTGGATAAATATTGAGTAAACAAATGTTTTATAGTGTGCTGTTTTTTTTCTCCGGTTTCCAGCTTCAATGCCTGTGGAGAAATGCTTTGTATCCCATCTGCACGCTGAAGCTTCTGTTACGCTGCTATCCGGCTGCTCTAGATTGAAATTTCTCTGCTCGCTAACCTGCATGCTGGCAATAACGAACCTCTCTATGTCGACTGTCTTCGGCAGATCGCTTTGTCTGCACGACCCCAGCGATAGCTGACATCGTGATCCTGGTGGACGGCTCATGGAGCATCGGGAGGGTCAACTTCCGGCTGGTCCGCACGTTCCTGGAGAACCTGGTCAAGGCCTTCACCGTGGGAGCTGACCAGACTCGCGTCGGTGTGTGGCGTGGGGGGTGTTTTAAGCCCTCGTCTCTCCTTTTTTAGCATTACTTCCTGTTTAGGATCCTCCCTTGTTTTTGACCTGCGACCCTGGATCAGTATCCTGTCTGTCTGGTCGCTCTCCGCTTGGCTCTTGGCTGAGTCCTGGATCTGTGACTTGGCTTTCCGAAATAAATTTGCCGTTTGCATTTTTTCCTTTTGGAGCTCCTTCATCATGCCCTTGAGCTGAGCAGATCCCAGTTAATGTCTTCTAAAAACTGTTTAGCAAGTGGTCTGTTTTCTGTGAACAGGGGAGCTTTGCTAATAAGAAACATTACAAAGTAAACACTTCCTGGATTACTTTTGAAACAGTTTAAGGGGTTAAAATGTCATAGATCATGGTCATGGTCCACTTAAGATGTGATGGTGAGTCTTGGTTTTCAGGACTGGCCCAGTATAGCGGGGATCCCAGGATCGAATGGAACCTGAAAACCTTCAGCACCAAGGACGCTGTGATTGAGGCGGTGAATAACTTGCCCTACAAGGGAGGGAACACGCTCACAGGTAGGGTGGTAGGGTGGTAGGGTTAGGGTGGTAGGGTGGTAGGGTGGCCCCTTCCGGCAAAGCAAATCTGTGAAAACACGCGATAGCTGCTGTTAGACACACTTCCAGTTTCTGTGCCATCACATATAAAGTACCAGTCAAGAGTTTGGACACGGCAAGCCACCTACAAAGACCTGAGCTAAAGGAGTCAGGGACCCAAGGGAAAGATCACTTTGCCGACTATGGGATTTGATCTTGAACCTTTTGAGTTCCAACTCACAGAGCTGCCCCCCACCCCCCCAAAATTTTTTGTAATAATATTTTTTGGTCAGTGTATATATGTTATATTATAGTTTTGATGTCTTTATAATTATTCTAAAATGTAGAGAATTATATAAATGAACCTTTCCATGGGTTGGTGTGTCCAGGCTTTTGACTGGTACTTTGCACACGGCAGATGTCACATGTACCCTGCCTCTCTGCGTTTGTGACCAGGCCTGGCGCTGACCTACATCCTGGAGAACAGCTTCAAGCCCGAGTCTGGGGCCAGGGATGGCGTCCCCAAAATCGGGATCCTGATCACGGATGGCAAATCACAGGATGACGTGCTCCTTCCGGCCCGAAGCCTGCGGGACAGCGGCGTCGAGCTCTTCGCTGTCGGTATGGAGGGGGCCCTTTGTCTGCCTTCAAATGCGGCTTTGTCTGAATGAGTTTGTCTTGTGTTGTGGGATTTGTACCTCCCAGCTCGCAAGGGAGAAAAATAAGCCAGAAACAGGGTGAGGAATTTAGCTCTGAAGCTAATGTGCATTCCTGAAAGTACTGGCTAACATTTCTGCATGAATAATATGCTACTAAACCGAAGCAGGACTGGAACACAGGACAGACGGGCAGACATGGAAGCGACGGTCCAGTCGCCGCGGTAACCTAGGAAGTGCTCTCTCCTGGCCCAAGGTGTGAAGAACGCCGACGAGAATGAGCTGAGGATCATCGCGTCAGAGCCGCACGACACCCACGTCTACAACGTGGCCGACTTCAGCATCATGAGCAGCATCGTTGAGGGCCTCACCCGGACCGTGTGCGAGGGCGTCGAGCAGCAGGACAGGGATATCAGACGTGGGTTCCCCTGACGCTACGCTAGGGCAGCCTTTTGGGCACCCGCTCTTGCCTTAAACGATTCCTCAGAGGTCAAGGCGGTCACTGTTAAGATGAGAGGCCCAAGGGCCCAGCAGTCAAAGGAAAGTGCATTCTGCCTGCATATTAGAAAGTGACACCTGACGTGTGTGTAAGTGGAATCATGGGAGCTATGCACTTCTGTTCTGGGCGGGGCAGTGGGCAGCACGTGCTTGTTGAGGGGGCGGTCTACGAGAAGGGGGTCTTCTCGGGTGGCCTTCCCTTTAGCTGGATTATCGTGTTGTCATCACATGGGTACTCTCCAACCTCCCATGGCGGAAATATGAGAGAGTGTGGTTGTAATTCTGGGTGGGCCGCTTCACTGCCTGAAGGTTATTAATAAACCAAGCACCTTGCTTTTTTTTGTTGCTGTTGTCAATAGAATCCGGGAAACCAACCGCGGGGCCTCCCCAGGACCTGATCACGTCTGAGGTCACCTCACATAGTTTTCGTGTGAGCTGGACTCACGCCCCCGGGGCAGTATCGAAATACCGCGTGGTGTACTACTCTAACGACGGAGGAGCCCCCCAGGAGGTAAGGGTCAGCTGTAAACCGACGGCCGAGTACCTCCGACGGGGGAGGGGTTCTTGGCCAGACATCAAGGGCAATGTCAAATATGTGATGGTGCTGGGGGGGGGGGGGAGCTGCCCACATCCATCTCCCCAAATGCCAACCAGCGATGTGGGCTCCGTTTGATGCGGGGGCCTGTACGCTCAGAAGATCCCTGCTGGATTTCTCGCGGCTCCGTGGTTCCCGGCTGGTGATGTCGTCGCCTCATGACCATCGTGTGTCGGTGCCCCGCAGGTGCTGGTGAGCGGCAGTGAGGACACCGTGCGGCTGGAGAACCTGAATGCCCACACGGAGTACCAGCTCGCCGTCTTCGCCGTCTACCCCACCACGTTCAGCGACGCCCTGCGGGGCAGCGAGACCACATGTGAGACCCCCTCCCCCCACCTAGACCTCGTTCATGCCCCCTCCTTCTGTTTCTCATTAACAGTTATTCATAACGTTATGGACTAATGATAATAGAACTATTGTAAAATGTGTAAAGACAATAATCAGCCCTTCATTCTTTCACCCTCTTCTCCAGTTATGGGGTCATTATGAGGTCAGGAAGCTATCCCATCATGCAGTGGGCTGGGGTACACTCTGGACAGGATGCACGTCTATTGCAGGGCACATACGCACTAACAGGCATACATCATAAGACAGTACATGCAGTTTAGAGACGCTGATTAAATGGCCGGAAAATTCCAGAGTACCTGCCCGAAACCCACATGTTTTACCAGTGCTGCCCTCATACTCTCATACTCGTTCTGTAACTGAGGAGGTTCCCTGTTGGAAATCGTGCTTAATGGGAACGATCGTGAGAAAATGAACTGCCAGGCAAACCCCGTCTTGGAGCACGTGGTCTGATTCCCGTAGTGTGTTTATTACCAGCTGTCATGTTACATAAACCAGCTCGCGCAGTGTGAAGACGTATTCAGGCCTGCTGACCCATACTGGGGGGGGGGACAACCTCTGCCCCCCCCCTTCTTTGCATTTTAGTGGCCCTGTCAGTGGCGAGCGACCTTGAGTTGTATGACGTGACGCACAACAGCATGCGGGCCCGCTGGGCTGAGGCTCCCGGGGCTTCTGGGTACGTGGTGGTCTACGCCCCCCTGGACAGGCCCGGCTCCCAGCACGAAAGGGAGGTGAGCACAGTGCCTCCGCCCTCCTGTTCTCTGATTGGATGAACCGCTGTGTGCAGCCCCGCCCCCTTCCCATATGACTAATAGGACACCTCTTCCCCATTCCTTTCCTGCTTGTGGCATCTGACTACCTGTGGGGCAAGGGTAATGAAACCACTCCAGAAGGATGTCCTGCAAGAAGCCAGTTATTGAGCGCTTTCATCTTCGCTAATTAGACCCTCTCGAAAGGTGGTAATTAGCCCCTGTATGAAATGCGAACCCCAAAGGCATAGAATCTGTTCCAGCGTCTCGCAGACAGACGGGTTTTCTCATAGCCACGTTTGTTACCGTGTGAGGTTGTTCCAGGTGCGATCCTGTAGGCGACATTGGGTCGGCGTCACTCTGTCACTGGGGGTCTTCATGGTAGACTTGTTTTCTGACAGATCCGAGTAGTGGAATCTGTGACAGACATCCCACTGGAAGACCTTACCCCTGACACGGAGTACATTGTGACCGTGTACACCATGCATGGGGAAGAGACCAGCGACCCCGTGACAAACCAGGAGACTACCTGTGAGTCCCCGCCCCCTTGAAACAAGGCCCACCCCTTTCTTCATTAGTTGAGGGGCAGATCGCTTTCTTCTCTAGGCCCTCGCAGTTCCAGCATCTCTTAGATCCCAGGAGAGGTTTCATTCAGGATTATAAAAGCTTCATTTATTTGGAAATGAGGTGAATAAACGTCTTTTTTGCTCGGCTAAACAAAGAACCCCGCAGCTTTTGTACAGCATATACTATTTATCGGGGAAAAAAAAACACGTTCTTGTCCTACAAAAGACCTCCAGAAGACCTGAAGCGAATCCCAAAAGTACTGCAGGCTGTTCTGGCTGCCTTGAAGGAATGAATTAGAGTGTGTTAATCGGGCTTTTCCAGGGTTTGGCAGTCACCTCACAGTAGGAATAATAAATAATTTCTGGAATAATTTCCTCCCGTTAAATCAAACCTCGTCCCTAGTGCCTCTGAGCCCTCCTCGCAATCTGCGGTTCCGGGACATCGACCACAGCTCTGCCGTGCTGTTCTGGGAGCCGCCGACCGACAAGGTCACGGGTTACGTCATCACGCATGTCACGTCCACCGGAGCCCGGATCAACATGGTGAGTACTGAGGCGGGTGCAGGTGTAGGATGAACCACAGACATGTCCACGGACAGTCGAATGGACAAAGACAGAGACGCAGACATGTCCACGGACAGCCGAATGGACAAAGACAGAGACGCAGACATGTCCACGGACAGCCGAATGGACAANATGGACAAAGACAGAGACGCAGACATGTCCACGGACAGCCGAATGGACAAAGACAGAGACGCAGACATGTCCACGGACAGCCGAATGGACAAAGATAGAGGCATACAGACAGACCAACATGTACACTATGGCACAGAGAAACACACACATCCACAGATGGACACCCATGAAGACATGCACATATATTAGAATTTAGTGATTAATTGTCATTGTTGACACACCACAGCACACAGTGCACAACAAGGAAATGTGTCCTCTGCATTTAACCCATATGTGACATAGCAGGGGGCAGCTAATTCAGCGCCCGGGGAGCAGTACCTTGCTCAGGGTACCTCAGTGGTGCCTTGCTGGACAGGGATTCAAACCTACAACCTTTCAAATACAAGTGCACTTCCCTAACCATTAAGCCACCACTGCCCACGCAACGAGGTATCAACATGAGATAAATGCAGGACTCACTTCCCCGTCCGCATCGTAAAGCTGCCCCGCCTTGTGTCCTGTGGTGTGACCCAGACGAAGGTGGGGAAGGTTGTCTCGGTGACGCTGAGGAACCTGACATCCAGCACCGGCTACACAGTGGCCGTCACCGCTGTTTACGACGAAGACCAGTCTGAGCCCGTCACTGGCACCTTCACCACCAGTAAGGAGCCGTCCTTAGACTGGTTTATGCTACCCTGTCTTTCACCTCTTGCTATGCTTCGAACCTGGGTCCGCTCGGCTGATACGATGACCCCGTGTGACCTTTGTGTTACGTTTCACTGGAGCAGTTACTTGCCAAATGGTGAACAGCAGCCTTTACGTCACCTTCCTCACAGTTCCACCTATTCAGTGATAATGCAGAATGATAAATCTGGGCATTAGTTTTACTGTTTTTTGGGTTAATTATTTAGTGATTCCAATCTAGCGCATGTTGTACTGTATGTGTATAACTCACTTAACCTGCCAGTCCTGCCCCATCAAGTTATTGACGTTGTTCGCAGAGCCGGTTCCCGCGCCTCGCAGCATCAGGACCAGTGAGGTGTCCATGGAGGGTTTCCGGGTCAGCTGGCAGCGTGCAGCGGATGATGTCATGTTCTACAAGCTGTCCTGGAGGCCCGCTGCCGGTGGGCAAAAGAAACAGGTCTGTGGTGTGATTCGTAAGGCTGTGATGGGAAATATACCCGTCCCGTGGTGGAATACACGCTTGTCCCGTGACAGGATACCTGCTTGGTACGTGTCGGGTTAGATGATCACATTATTTGGTACACGCTTGGGGCGTGACAGTTTACACGCTTGCCGGTGCGGGGATTCCCCGTGGTGTTATTTGTAACCCTGCGAAGCTTGGGTTTGACCAGCGGTGGGGCTGGAATGACAGCGAGCTGCCCGAATACCTGCAGAGACCCTCTCAGGAATCTGATGTGTGCCCCGCGCCCCCGCACTCTGCCCTCCCCGGAAGGCTTCGTCGCTAAATGTGCCGTTGGGATTTCTGTGACAAGGACGGGCTCAGGCACAGCTGTGACTTATAGATAGCGAGGGGCAGGTCGATGTGTTTACTCAGCGGCACCGGAGCAGAAAATAACAAGCGGGGAGGTCAGGCGGAATATTTCACAAAGCCGAGTCTGTATCTCCCTCCTGAGCCGGTCTGGGCGACTCCCACAAAGGACGACACGGTGACCCCTCACCGAAGGCTTTGTTTACTTTGTGCCAATTTGCCCGGCTTCTGAGCGGCCCCCATAACCGCTCCCATCCTTCTCTCCCGCGGCCGTCGCTATAGACGTTGATCTTGGGCGACTATGACAGCACCCTGCTGGCGCACCTGGAGCCGGGCACGCGGTACGAGGTGGCGCTGTCTGCGGTCTACGCGGGCAATGTGGAGAGCCGGGCTGTGACGGCGCTGGAGACCACACGTAAGGACCACGCGGGGCCGCCCAACAAACGCTGGAAGCCCCACGGGCTTCATACTTACACGCACTAATAAAGATCTCCATCCATCTTCCCTCATAACCCTCATCCAGAAAGCTGTCAGGGTGAGTCAGGAGTCTGTCCTGGACGGGACACTGGTCCATCAAAGGGCCCAGACAATTATTCCCAAGGGACAATTCAGATACACTAATTCACTGAAAAACCAGGTGCATTTACACTGCAGGGGGGAAATGGAGTAGCTGGGTGATGCCTACAGTGACAATAAGCAAATGCCATACAAACACACACACACACACTCACAGGGTATAATGCAGGCATCAAACCTATAACCTACTGCGCAGAAAACAAATTCCTATCCATCCATCCATGCATGCATTAATCCATCCATCTCCCATCTGTTTATCAGGGTTATTCAAAATTTATGAATTTATATGAAAATTATACAAACACAATATTTGTTTTGTAATCGTATTGTATCCCAGATCCTTCCACAATATCCTGGCCCAGTCTGAGAGTCCATAGCCCTGATAATGCTGTAATTACGTAGCTTTGAGGTGCTGTTTTGTGCTTTTCCCGGCACACATCTCCAGCCTGAGATATTTATGTTCTGTTTATTTACTTTCTTAAACATAGTTCTGTCACACAGGCCAAGCGTTACGCTTCTGTCCTCGTTTCACCTCACGTATTCTTGGATAGTCTCCACCGACGTTTATATAGCTGCCCTTTTTCGCTCCGCCGTGTGTTTGCGCCTGAGCTTGTGGCGCCGCATTAAATATTAAAAACATTTTAATTTCTCCTCTTAGTGACAAGAGGCTCCACTGCCCCTTCACCTACCCCCTCAGGTAAATACTGCTTCCCAGGGATGGACTTGTGAAACAAAAACTTTCTTTGAGACGATTTAAAAGATATATTTAATGATGTAGCAGTTAACCTTTAAGGTCTGTTTCAGTAGCGGATGTCTGTGTGCAGTCTGCGGAGTGATGTATCGGTAGATAAATCTGGGGGGGGGGTCTGGTGCTGTAAGCTGTACTTCTGTGTGCGGCGCAGGAACTGCGCTGTTGCACTGTCCAGAATTCCGGCTTCCATGCATTAATTGCATGTCGCAGCTTGCTTTTCTGTGGCCGGTGAACATTCATGGCGCTACTTTGGCTGACAGCTCAGGTCACTAAATACCCTGCTGCCCCCTTGCCCCCCCCCGCCCAGCACTGATTAACATCTTATTAGTGACATAATTATTGTTACTTTAGTTACTATATTGATTCCACCCCTTTATGCTGCCTATTGTTGACTTACACATTACACTGTGTATAAAAGCCCTCCCCATGGTCACTGCTGTTTGTACTTGGGGGAGCACGGTGTACCTGCATGTGGAGGTATGACAGCGAAGCCCACTTGACTTAATTTGACTTGACTTGACTGTCTTGTGATGGCGGGTCGTTCCGTTCCAGTGCCGCGGGTCGGCGTGAGAAACCTGCGCATGGACCGCGAGACCCCAGACAGCCTGAGGGCATCCTGGGACCCTCACATGCTCGGCGTCAGCCAGTTCCGGGTGTCGTACGGCCCCGTGAAGGGCGACTGGGATGAGGAGGAGGTGAGTGCGATCTCCTGGGACATCTGGTCATAAACACAAAGCAGGTCCAGTTCAGTAGAGGCAGGCTGAATCTCCTGAATGCGGGTTTCTTACCGGTTACTGAGTTTCGTTCCTGAGGACCAAACAATAGCATGACATTTGGGGCGCAGAACCAAATGGAAAGAAGATGAAACCGGCCCATTAATAGAATGTAAACACATTTCAGGGCACTGTTTTGCTAGGTTTGCTCTTTTATTGACTTGGGGGGCGGGGGGGGGTCATATGATTTTTCACACATCAATCAAGAATGGAGATCCGCTACCTTCACATCGGCCTGATTTTAGTCTGCTGACATTCTGGGGGGCGTGGAAGGATGGAGGCGACCGGTATCCACAGGCCTGCCATGGAACACTGGGAAGAGAAGGACTACAGCCTTGTAATACACACCCGAAGGGCTGGATGTGTTAGCGCATGTGGCCCTAGCAGTGCTGCCTGTTTGGCCACACGCGTTAAAGGGAGGCGTCGTAAAACCAGAGTCGCGTGTAAACATGGTCCCACCTCGCCCGCGTTTTTAATTTCCCGTCTGGTAGCCCGGGAGACGCGCCGGAGCGCCGGGAGACGTTACGTTAGCGTGTGAAATATCGCAGAGGGAGATATCCACTGGAGATAAAAATAGACCCGTCAGCGGTTGCGGGGAAGGAAGTCCGTTTGTTTTCGGCGTGTTTGCTTTACGAGGCGCGGGCAAGGCTTTCAGCACCTCGGCCTGGCCGGACAGCTCCTCCCCTTCAGTTCCTTATTTTATAAAAGCGTCAGAGCGTGTACTGACTGATCCGGGCATGGCGGTTTAACTCTCTGCTTTGTAAGGCTCAGTCAGCCAGGCTAGATTGATTGCGGGCATTATAAATAGTTTATGAGACGCGCATGCATTATAAAATCTCATTTCGCGTAATTACATTGGATTCGGACGGACTGTTCGGCATACCCTCCAAATGACACTACTGCTTTCGACCCCTAATGCCAATGACGTGTTTCTTTTTCTTTTAAATTGCTCTGTCAAGCTGGATATTGGCTGATGCTTATTGCTGTTAAGCATTTGGACGGGGGAGGCCACATAGCGCCTGCTTAAAATGTAAACAGGAGCAGCACTCCTCATGTCCAGGACTCGTCCGTTCAGTGCGTGTTCTCCACAGCACCAAGGCGCTAATACCCCCCTCCGCCGTGAAGGGGTCAGTGGATACGTCAGTGCTCAGCCCGAGCCAACGTGTCACCACTGACATCCTTATCGAGATCGGAGAAGACATCTTGCAATGGGCGCTGTTGTCATGAGAAAGTCCAACTCACTCGTGACGTTTAATCACGATGGTGTTATCGGCAGCCACAAGCTATTTTGGTTGTCACGAAGATGATTTTTCTTCCAAAGATGTTGGAAAGATAGAAAGTTGTAGAACTCCATGGTTCGCTTCCGTGTTACTAAATATGGTGTCCATTTTACGCTTGGGGCCCCCCGAATCGACAGTGCTCTTTCGGGTCAAACGTTCATTTTAAAGAGCGCCTCCTGGCGGCAGAGGGACACACAGCGCGCCGACAGCCTGAGCGAGTGCGTCGTGATCCGTAGTGTGTAAAGCTAGCGATCCTCTCTCCAGACAGTCTGCCATAGCAGCATCCATACAGGCTTACAGGCTTGAGTCACATCCACGTCAATCTAAGCACTGAGTGGGCGGTCGTATGAGACCATTATGACCCAACAGTAATTGTAACTGCAGTACTTTTTAGCTATATAAAAACATTTTATTTGTAGAGCAGATATGTTTTTCCAAAGTGAGATAGCGGGATCAGCCTGTTCCTGGAGCAGTAGGGGGTGGGAGCTCTTGTTCAAGGGGCCAATGGTGGCATCATTCAGCCGACCACAGGATCTGAACTTCCCATCACAGGGACGACCCACTGCCCTCCCCGACGGTAGAATTGCTAACATCTGGCTAATCTCCGTGTGACAATGTAAAATGATGGGCACTCTTAAGCACGGTATAGCTCATTATTTCTCTTCCACTGAACACGGTTTATTGTCGGCTTGCTCATTAGCTGTTGTTGTTATCGCGCTTAATCATGCCGAAAGAAAACATCGCTGAGAAATTGTGGCCTACTAATTCGGTCATGTCGGCAAATTTCGGATTGGCGTGCTGTCATTCCGGCCGAGCGACGTCGTCTCAGAACTATGAGGACTGCTGATTTTTTCTCCGCTGGAGAGGAACGGAAAGGACATGTGAATTTAGCCACCGGTCAAACAGAGATCCTTCAAACAGCGGCCCAGATGATTAGATTGGTAGGGTATACTAATGGGCAGGGAGGGAGATCAGAAACAGATTGGGGGACCACTGTTCCCATTAACTGTCCCAATGAGCGACAGCATCATGCAAACTGGTCTGACGTGAGGACAGTGAGTCATGATTATTGGATCATATATCTTGTTTTATTCTTTTAAATGTAGGTGTTTGTGTCCGGCCAAGAGAACAGCGTCATCCTGGAACAGCTGGGGCCAGACACAGAGTACAAGGTGACAGTCACTCCCATCTACGCTGCTGGAGATGGGACCAGCGCGTCCTCTGTGGGCCACACGTGTAAGCGGATCCTCCAGCGGCTTCGCACACCAACCGCACGGGCTCACTACCTCGTGTTTACATTCCCTGACCCATCCCTAAAGTAAACTATTCCCCGCTTCGCCGATAATCACTATCGTGGGCCGATGTATGTCCTGGGGTTACTTGACACAGGTGGGGGTTTTCTGCGGTGCTTGCACTGCTGACACAGTAAATGTGAAGAGGCAGGGAGACAAATATCGATTTTGTCCATTAATAAGGATGATGGAGGCCCCTTATAACAGCAGTCTTCCTCCGGCCAGTAATAAGCCTGTGAAACAGATTTTTTTTCCCTCTGTCGTAATTGATTACACGCACCACTCTTTAAACCATTACCTCAGAATACCGATTTGGGTCTTTTCTGCTCTTTCGAGTAATGATTTAAATGTCACTGCGAGGATAATTCACATTCTTAGGAAAGACAAGCGGCTGACAGTTTGTCTCGCGATTCGAAACAAAATGCGGCACAATGCTGAGCTTCAATAACAAATAAATCCATCACGGGTCTTCGTGACTTTCATTCGAATATATATGCGTCATCGGCTGTCATGTATAGTTGTCTCTTGCTGACCAAAGAACACGCTTCTCACGGCCAAGTGCTTAGATCATAAACCCACCCGGCTGCACACAGGAAGTGATGCAGGAAATAGAGTGTCGTGGTCCCCCGCCCCCACATAAACTGTGCGTTTGTTCACTTGCAGTGCCCCTCGCTGCACCCACAAACCTGAGAGTGTCTGAGGAATGGTTCAATCGCTTCCGTGTCACTTGGCATCCTCCCTCGAACCCCACCGCAGGCTACCGGGTCATTTACCAGCCCATCTCCGGTGAGTATGGGTCCCGGAGGAAACACTGAGCGAGTGGGAAGGAGAGAGTACAAGAAATCGCATTCAGAGCAGCAAACGGAATACACAAACGGAAGCTGGGACTATCGCTCCATCTCCATTACCAGTCAAGCATTGAGCAGAACCTGTGGTCTGGAAAGAGGGCCATCTGGGAGAGATGTTGCACCTTTAAGGTTTCTAGAGAAACAAATGTTCCATTAACTGCGTCGTAAAATGGGGACACCCTCTAAATCACTGTAAAAGGGCATTTCGATTGAGCAGTTTCCTAAGTTTGGTGTAATTGGTCTATAACCATTTGCACAAGACATCGGCTGTATTTGTCCACTTAAGTTTTGTTTCCGACATATGAAAACCTTCTTAATTGAAACTATCATAAAGAAGGAATGCGGTTCACTGGAATGCAGTTAGCGGTGAACGAGGTAAGCGTCTTGTCATTGTGATAAATGGTGAATTACTGATGAAGGGCAGGGCTCATACATTTTACTGTCCTTGCTCTGGGAGTGTAAAGATCTGCTGATGATGTTATGGACTGTCAGATCGTTCAGAGAAGACAATGAGCCATTTCTCTTCCTGTCATGTGGAATAATGATTTGCTTTGGGTAAGCAGAGCATCATTAGGAGATGAACTTGAAGAGGGAATCCCCCCTTTAAGTCACTATAAGCACTCTGGTTCTGCGGATGAGATGGTCTGTGTGATTTCTCTACCAGTGTCCTGCACAGTTCCTCCCTTATTCTCTTTACCTCGAGATACCCCCCCCCCCGTAATCAATCACAGTCAAAAACAGAGGCTGGTTCCAGTGAATTTATGCCCAGAGACTGTCCGCTCTCCGCAGTCCCGGGACCAGCCCTGGAGACCTTCGTTGGGGACGACGTCAACACTCTCGTCATCATGAACCTGCAGAGTGACACCGAATACAGTGTCAGTGTCGTCGCCACCTACAGGACAGGCGCCAGCATGGCACTCACTGGCAAAGCCAAGACACGTGAGTCTGGCAACATCTCTGCAGCGATTTACGAAGCGTATGTGTCCATTCACACCTTCATATATTTAGCGTAGTGGAAATGATTTCATCCTCTTTCCATGAACAAACATATGGTATGTGGTCGTATTGATCCATATATCATAAAATATGATTAATTCATCCTCAGTTCCCTTTTCCACGGTTCGAGGTTGAGGAAAGCCTGGTTCGCAATCCTGCACGATGAGCAATTTGGAGAGACCAGCTCATCTAACTCACAAGAGGAGGGGGGATCCTTTGACTGCACACATAGAGGGCTATAGTGCTGACCCACAGTAGCATATAACAGTATACATTTGTTACACGTGCTCATAAAAGATAAATACATATCTTCAGTATATTCTGTGTTCTCTGTTGTGTCAGCACTTAAGAGTGGGGATTTTTTAAGGACACGATGCTACTAAAATGACTCATTTAATGCATTTACTGTCCCATGAGCGTCAAAGCCACTATTTTACGAGCTACTGTGGCAAACAGCCGCACCTCGTATGGGGTCTCTTATGGTTTCCTTTTACACAGCACACACCCCACTAGCAGCAAAGCTCTGCTGCGTCTTTTGGACAGCTGCATTTAATTAATTTATTCACGCTTATTTACGCAAACTACGGATTAATACACAAAATGACTAACGATGCGGAGAAAGCGCTGGTATCGCGTCGTATCGAAAGAGTCGCATTATTTCTGCATATAAATCAGATATTATCAGGAAAATCGCTAAGTAAACTACTCTGGCGCCTTTATTATATAAAAATGCGATCAGACTGTTTCTCTTTGCTAAAACCTACACCATCACACCGCGCCAAATGAGTGAGGCGTTTTCATCAGGGTGAAGTGAGATAACCGGGGCGGCGGAGGCAGCGTCCCCGGGAGCGCGTATGCGGGAGCGCGTCCCCGGACGGCGCGGCGCGGCGGACAGGCACCCAGTGCGGGCGGCAAATCTTTATCTCTCCAGACAAGCCGTTATTACAGGGGGAGCAGAAACACGATTCTGACACGGATAACGATATATTACATCTTCAGCCGTGAAATTTCTATTTATTAATTTTTCGGCTCTTGTTCCGTGTGTTGCATTAACACGCTCCTTACACCTGTATCCCCGCTCCGTCTCACGCAACTCTCGTCCACTTTGTGCGTCAGTCCAATTTGAATAATTCAGTAAAATAATAAATGTAGCCCCCTCGCAGTTGCGCGCCCAGGTACGTGAACGCATGCATTTTTAATAGCGCGGGCTACTGAAGGGCGCCAGCAGTCACATGCATTATTCAGGAGCGCTGGCAGGATTAAGATAAGCCGCCTCATTCCACCATATGCTCCTGCGTGTTCTCCATCTTGTTCTTCAAGGAGAACATCTTCTGAAGGGCCTTGTTGACTCGTTATGTGCTGCTAAACCGCGGCCTTGCTGACCACAAGCTACGTCCTTCTAGTTTAAGGGCTTGAATTTAAGTTACACAATACGGTTTCAGATAAGTCTCCTTGGTTCGACTGTATTTTTGAGAGTCCCTCTTACCAGGCAAATTAATGGAACCACAGAGCACAGGGGCTATGCAGGGAAGTATCATTTATTTATGGACAGGGGCGGGAAGGGGGACCTGGACAGGATTGTGGACAGGTGGAACATCACAGAAGTGAAGAAAACTAGTAAATCCATCTAACCTGCAGTGAAGGGTTACCAGGAGACCAGGAGATATAAAATAAACCAGAACACTGCAATAAATAATCCCTTTGGGCAGGAGGGACGTGTGGAACCAATCAGCACAAACCTTCAGTCACCTGACCCTCTCAGCCTCTCAGCCTCAGCTCCCCCACCGACCACTAGAGTGTTCATTTAGCCGTTTGCCCGCTGCTGTTTCTTCAATAGGATCCTACACAGTATAGATCTGATTAAATGACTGTAGGTTTTTCAAGCAAGACAAATACACAGAATGTCTGATTTAATTACTTTTTTTCTTCCAGACAAAGAAAATAAACTTGAGGTACAGAATCCAAGCTGTATATACAGCACATTTAATAGTAAAGAAAATACTGTGGATTAGTAATTTCATTGGACGTATCCTCACCAGAATTGATTTTGCTTAAATTGTACCTGTATGTTGTATTTCTTTTTACTGAGGTCTGCAGAACAGTGTTTTTGCTATTTAATTACTACCGATTCTCCCATGTAGAAACGTGACAAATTTCTGCAAGAATTTTTTTTTAATTAGGCGATCAGTTGTTGCAATGATGTGTAGCTCAGCAGATTAGTGCCAGTGACAGGAAGGTTGTTGATTCAAGACCCATGGCCAGCATGTTGTCTTGGACAAATTAATCTTGTAATTAGGTAAATGCTAGATGCCTGTTTTTTACTGTTGAGTTTATTCATTTTTGTTTTAAATTATGTCGATATATTAGATATCAGCAAAGATATACACACCGTTTTTACAAACCGATTCTCCGTTTTTGTAATTAAAGACATGTTTTCGCAGTGTACGTTCTCCCTGCTGAATATAAATTGAAGCCCCCCCCCCCCACTATGCATGTCTACCAGCGGATGTTGAAGCTTATGCCCCAGCTCTAAACCCCGTTCATGTGTGTATTTCCTCGTCTCCTTATCACACAGTGTATCTGGGAGTGGCAAACCTGAACACCTACCAAACACAGAGCACCAGCATGTGTGCTCAGTGGCGCCCCCTCCAGCACGCCTCTCTCTACAGGGTGGTCATCGAGTCCCTGCACAGTAAGTAGCTCCTGGCTGTGGTGTTTTGGTGCCATTTCTCTTTCCAGTATAATCCCTGTTTGTTAACAATGGCAAACTGGCATCTGACTAAGACCAAACTGCCAGATGAGATCAGACGTCTTAGTGTTTTTTTGAAATAGTGTCAATTTGTATTTTCTTTTGCTATCGACTATTGTAACTTTTACTCAGGAATGAAGAGTGAAGATGGCAACGGTTCACAAATTTATCATAGATCATACCGCGATAATACAGGGCATTTGAAAAAAAATATCTGAAATGGTGACAAGTTGAAATTGATTTTAAAGAGATAAAAGCACAATTATAATAAATCTGATTAATGTGAATGCATAGTGGAAACAAGACTTTCAGTAAAAGTCACTAACTTTCTTTATCACTCAAGGCTTTAATTGGTTGAAATTTAAATTGGGGGCACAATTAAAATCAATCACATATAGTTGCCAGCCTTTACTTGAATGCAATGGTGCCTTTTGCTGGAGTGTTAAAACTTTACTACCTTATGAAAAAATAATGCGTCCGTTAAATCGCCCCCATGACGGACAGCGACAGTGTCACCGTCAGTCAGCGTGTTTTATGCCGTTAATGAAAAGCGCCGTGGTCCGTATTTTTATTGTGAGAGATCCATTAAAAGTTAAACGAGTGTTTTCAGTGACTCATTTTAATGGCTTCCAGAGACTGTCTGTAGAGGGTCCAGAGAGAAACCAGTAAAGTTCTGGCACTGTTTGAGGTGACACTTTCGCATGTGTAATAAAAGAAAGCGCCCCTCTCGATTTTCCTCCAGATCTCAGAAATTAATATGTTATGCATATGTCTATATGGACACTTTTTAAATTGGAATAACCTGTTATCTGTATAGAACATTGGCAGCATTACACTCAAGCAGAGCCATGTATTAAACTTAGATGAAGACCCTTGAAGGAGTCGTCCCTCTCGGGGTACGGATGCACAGATAGTACACCAGAAGTAGGAGAATCCCAAGGAGGTGATTGCAAAACAAAAGGAGAGAGGAACACGGAAAATTTCCTCCGTGGGAGGATCCAGCGTAGCATTCTGCCCGGAGTCACGCAGGTGGTCTTGGGATTTTCGAAGGGTTGCGTAGTCTGTGTAAAACTCAGATGGGAAGGTTTGTCTAATGGGACACCACTGCATCAGCTTTTGAGAGAGAATGTTCTTAATGTTGCTGTGGTTTTGTTATGTTCGCGTTCAGGAGGATACTGATGAGATCCGATTACTGTTATCTGTGAAGTCGATCGGAAGTTGCCTTTGCTTGGGTTCTAATCTGCTATATCACTATCTGATGCACAGCCATTGGATCCAGACCAGTCCTCGGGCAGAAAAGCGTTACTGGGCGTAATTAAAATGTCTGGTTTGCATGCGAATAACTCTGTCAATTCAGACCTTGAACATCGTTCCTGAGATGCCCTGCGTCTCTGAGTCTGGTCCTCAGTCCATCTCAGTCCGGTAAGGGGAACAATGGCTCAGTTTGTTGTCAATTTCACGGATTATGGCGAGAAGCTAAAGACCTCGGGAAAGAGCGGACGAGAGCGCTCGACGGAATCCGCTCATCTTCAGGGTGTCCCTTTGACGATGGCTGACTTCCATCTTCTCCGACTGCAGACGGACAGAAGCAGGAAGTGAGCCTAGGGGGAGGAGCTTCTGGACGCTGCTTCCAAGGTCTGTCTCCCAACACCCCATACAAGATCAGCGTCTATGCCCAGTATCAGGGCATGGAGGGTCCTGCAGTGACCGCCATGGACAAAACACGTAAGTCCCAGCCTCCCGCTTCTCTAGTCCATGCTGAATCACTGCACTGAAAAAAACACGTGTTTACGATCTGTACGAAGTTCTGTTTGAAGCCAGAATGATCCCCTTGTTTTGACACAAACTGAAGTTGGTGCTGACCACCACGCAACCACACATTTGCATCAGGCTCCTGAGGTTTGGCACCCCCTCCCCCCCCCCCCCCAGCTTTTGCTCTGAGATATACTCC